GCCCCATGTGCCACTCCCCTGAGGTCTGCCTTTCCAAATGCAAAGCCTGTCAAGGGAAAAGTCAGGTGTAGTTACTATCAAAGGGTGGGGACAGAAGCTGAGAGGAGCACTAGCCTCAGAAGGACAATGGAAAGAGGGAGACATGGGAAGGGAATCATACTGTCCTACTAGGAACCCAAACCAACCATTCCTTCCCCCATGCTCTGGTGGCCCATCAGAGGATGTGGCAGAAGCTGTCCATGGTGGAAAGAATGGTCTCTTGAGTCCCTAAGTAGCATCTAGAAATGGAGAGGACTGGCTAGGTGTGGTGGTGCAAGCCTGCAACCACAGGGACTCAGGAGACTGAGGCAGGAGGATCAAAAGTTAAAGGGCAAGCCTGAGCAAGTTAAGGAGGCTCTAAGCAACTTATCCAAACCCTGTGTCAAAATGAAAAAGAACTGGGGATGTAGTTCAGTGGTAGAATGTTTGCCTAACATGTGAGAGACCCTGGGTTCAATCTCCCCATTACTGGGGGGTGGGGGCGGGAAAAGGAGGAGGAGGAGAAGAAGAGGAAGAAAAAAAAAGAATGGAGGGCTGGGAGTATAGCTCAGTTGGCAGAGTGCTTGCCTTTCATGCACAAGGGCCTGAGATCAGCACCAAAAAAAAAAAAAAAAAAGGAGAAAGACTGAAGTGACTGGAAAAGATCAGGATATGATGGAGGATGTGCTTCTACCAGATACCCTTCATGAGCTAGGAAGTTTCCCTTTGTGAGTTTTTTGCTACATCAGAGGTGAATGAGATGAGAACAAGCTGAAAGTGACATCCAGTTCTACCAGTTCCTTAGTGGTGAGGCCTTATGGATGGAGAGATTCTGTTCCTGCCAGGGCCCCACCACAGGATTGAAAGCTGGGGTGGGCAGGAGGATGTGGCGGATGGTGTTGCCATGGCAGCACTTCCTCCCTGTGTTGTCATCACTTGCTCTAATGGCACTAAGGAGGTAGAGCGGAAGGTATGTGGGGGGGAAGACAGGAACAGGAACATGAGGAGGAGAGGGGACCAAGGAGAGTCATAGGGACCCTCTCTTCACTTTAGCTATGCTGAGCATGGTCTTTAAGTGTGCCTGGAAGCCAGAGTGTGTGTATGTGTGTCTGTCTGTGTGTCTACAGCTGGAAAACAAGAGGTCATTTATCCTTAGTGGGTCCTGGGAATGAACACAATATCCAGTCCCAGAACCTCTTGCCCCGACTGCTTCCTGTTCTATCCTCCCTAAGCAGGGAATACATCTACCATGGGTCTGTCACAGCCCGTCTTCCCCATGCTTCTCCACTGCCAAGAAGGTCAGGTCAACAGTGACCTGTATTTTGTTCTCTTGGGAGAAGGATTAGAGTTGTGGAAAAGGAAGAATGATAAACTCCCGTGTCTTTTTCAATCCTCCCCAAATGTATTCTTCCCTAGAGTCCTAGCTGTGTCCTGGGGACTAGGAAGTAGCTGATTGAGAAATGATACATGATACTGTTAGCTCTTCTATGCCCTTGCTGGTTCCCGATACATCCAAGTTGGGGGACTGATACTTCTCTTACCTCGTATGTTGTTCAGTGAGGCCTGGATGCTGTCCCGAAGATCAGGGTCACCCACTCTTTCTGCCAGCTTCCTGAGGTGGCTTAGAGCCTGCTTGGCCACCTCATGTCGTCTGACTTCTGCTCTCACTGTGGCTATAGCCAACTGCCTCTGGGCATGCATGTTGCCCAGACCTGTCTTGCCAGACTAACAGCAACCTCCGGCCCTGAAGCCCATGATTCTGTAGTCCCCAAACCTTAGAAGGCCCCTTTTGCTGTGCCCCAGAACTCCCCGCCCCTGCTTGCCCTTCCGTCTGTCGGCCTCACTTCCTGACTGGTGAGTTTCAAACCCACAGCCTGGGACAGCACTACCTCCTGCGCCTCCCACTCCCTCTAGCGTTGGCTCATCAGCCCTGCCAGCCAGCCCCTGGTATGATTTTCCAGTCAGGTATGAGGGAGAACCTTAGCAAGTGTCCCAGAGCCTCCTGTGGGAGGTGGCTAATTAAGATGGGTGTCACTTGTGGGAAAATGTGGCCAGCCAGTCTCAGGTACAAATCCAAAGTTGGGGATCTGCAAACTTGTGTTGTCTCAAGCTCACACAGAAATACATATACAAGTAGTCTATTACTCATAGCCCTGAATTCTAGTGTACAGTTATACTTACCACTCTCCACACCCTTTAATGATCCCTGAAGACTAATATCTTGTAATGTAACCCTTTAGTTGTGGGGAGAATGAGTTATAAAGAATGAAAGTAACCAATAAACAGATAAAACTATCATGATATGTGTTCAATTATTTTCATAATAATGTGTATAATGTATAATAGTTAATACACTTTCATATATATTGTCTTCATAACAGGCCCAAAGGGAAGGATTATTTATCTTTATTATATAGAAAAGGAAACTGAGGCTCAGAGAGGCCAGAAACAGGTGAGCTTTTCAACAAAGATATAGTCTTCTGATTACAGTTTTAATGACCTTTTCATCACACACACACAACACCAAGATGCTTGCCAGACAGTTTCCCTTCTCCCTAATAGTCAGACCTTCAATTAGAACCTGTAAGAGAAGAGAGTGCATAAGGAATTGAAGGAGAAATAGAAGTGGAGGGTAGGATTAGGGGTAAAAGTTGGTAGGTAGTGTGATTTAGTTACTTTGTTTCAAGACTTAAACCTCTCTGGCCTGCCAATTTCTCGTGTGTGTGTGTGTGTGTGTGTGTGTGTGTGTGTGTGTGTATGTGTAGAATGAATTATAAAGAAGGAAAGTAACCTATAACCAGATAAAACTATTGTGTTGTGTGTTCAATTAGTTTCATAATTAACGTGTGTATAATGTATAATAGTTTACAATACATACATAAAATAAATATATATAAACACACACACACACACACACATATATATATATATACACACACACACACACACATATAAAATGGGGGGGGGTAACCAGGTAATCCTCACAATCCAGAACTGTTAGAGGTGTGTTATTAAAGTAAGTGTATTGTTATGCTTTACAGATGAGGAAATGGGAACAGAGTTTAAATACCTAGCCAAAGGTTAAGAACTGGCAAAATTGGAACCCATGCAGTCTGACTCAGTGAGACTATATTGCTTAGGCAACATAGAATCTAAGTACACACAAATCATTCCCACTAAGACTACTCCTTTCTCTTGGGGGAGAGAGGGATTATGTCTTTCCCCACTCCTATGAAAAGGGAGGTGTGTAGGTGTGTCAAAGCATTTATGCAATAAAAGACGGTTATTGACCAACCATTGTGCCCACCTCTGAGTGATAACGTGAGAATCCTCTCATATTTATTCATATTCCGCACTCCTCCCTTTATGTCTCCGTCCCCCCCGCCCGCCAACACAAGCCCTGGATCAGGCTTGCAAGAAGATGCCCAGCACACCCGTGTGTGTTCTTGTGGCTTTGTCACAAACAAGAAAGCACCAGTCGAAGGCCGCTGTTTTCCAAATTGAATTTCTTGCATATTCACACCCTGGTAATCGGGGATACCGAACAGAACTTAGGTACCAGTGTACCCAAAACGTGTGGGGGTTTGCTGGGTGGTGCTATGCTCAACCCGAGGTCTGAGTGGCCTGGCCAAATAGCTTAATATCTGTCTCTTTGGGGCGTTCCTCAGTGTGACGCAATAACAAGATAATGGTGTCATCATGAGGTCACCGCAAGACAAGGGAAAAGGGGGGGGGAAGGCTCGCCTTCGAGAGGCAGAGCCCTTTCGTCCAGCTTTTGAAACCCCTTTTCTCGCTTTTCCCCTGAGCTTCTCCAGAGCCTCCACCCCAGATCAGCCCTCTCTCAACCCTAAGCATTGAAAGCTCAGCTTTCAATCCGGGCCTTTGAAGTTTAGGCTCCGGTGGGTATGAGACTCTCTAGAAATCCGGCCCCCAGTTATAAATTTCATCCAATGAAGAAACTAAAGGAGGGACCGGGAGGCGGGTCGGTGACGTAAAGCAGATTGATTGGCATTCAGGCCATCAACGTCCTGGATTAGCCTCGAGCTTCGCCAATCCACAGGCAGGGGTGGGACCGTGCAGGCGCAGAGAATTAGTTTGGCCGTCTTCGATTTAAAGAGACAGAAGCTGTCGGGGTCCTTGAAGACGGTCCCCTAAGACCCTCCCCCCAAGTCCTTGGGACCACTTGGTCCCCAGAGCTGGGGAGATGGTTTGCGGAGGCTTTGCCTGCTCCAAGAATGCGCTGTGCGCTCTCAACGTGGTCTACATGGTGAGATTTTGGAAGTGGGGGAAAGCTTCGCGGCGGAAAGGCGAGTGGGGTGAATCTCTAGGGGACTTCCGGTGGGGAGAGGGGTGTACTGGGGGTTCCGGGAAGATTACCAGGAACTTCCGGCGAGGAGGGGATTCCTGGGGATTTCCGTGGAAGAGGAAAGACTTCCGGTGATCAGGGGCCTTGTCTGAGGATGGGGGGAAAGAAGTGAAGGCTGTGGGTATAAAGTCCCATCCCTCACTTCGTGAATCGAAACAAGTGGTAGACAGCGCCAAGGATTCAATGTGTATATTATTTCCCTTGTCTCCCTATCCCTATCCCAGCCATTCTGACCTACTTTGGAAAGAGAACCCAGGAAAGCTGTTTCTGTAGCACCCGTTCCCCCTCCCCCCACCATTCACGCACCTGGATTGTCCAGTTTTTGCCAGATTCCCTTTGTGATAGACTTTGACTGTGCTGTATGCCAGAATTCTTTTGAGATGTATCCTGCTTTCTGTTTCCTATAGCTGGTGGGCTTGTTGCTCATTGGAGTGGCTGCTTGGGGCAAGGGCCTGGGTCTGGTGTCCAGCATCCACATCATTGGAGGAGTCATTGCTGTGGGAGTCTTCCTTCTCCTAATTGCAGTTGCAGGACTAGTGGGTGCTGTCAACCACCACCAAGTCCTGCTATTCTTTGTATCCTGGTGTGAAATGATAGGGGCACCTGGGCTCTTGTCTAGGAATAAGTTAGAAAGGGTATGGGACTCTGATTGTAGGGACATGTCTTTTTGACCTTCCCTGTATCATACATAGTCTGCAAAACAGCAAAAGCTGATGTTTCAACTTGACATGATTGTGTAATTTCTACGAACATATGAGACCAGATGGTTATTTTAAATGGAACATAAAAGAATCTGGTTACTGGGGCTGGAGATGTATCTCAGTGGTAGAATGCTTACCTAGCACATGTGAGGCACAGGGTTTGATCCTCCGCACCACATAGTTATATAAAATAAAGAATGTCCATCTACAACTAATATATGTAAAGAAAGTTCAAATTTTAAAAAATCTGGTTACTTTATTCCATTAACTCTTCCTCTCAGTACATGATCATCCTTGGTTTGGTCTTCATCTTCCAGTTTGGAATCTCTTGCTCATGTTTGGCTATTAACCGAAGCAAACAGGTAAGGTAAGGGGATGCCCTTCCAAGTATTTGCTTGCCTTTCCCCACCTTACCAAGTGGGATTCTGACGTAACTCCTTACTTTAAGTCTTGACTTTGCTCCCCCAAATCATCCTAGGTCCACTACTTCAGCCATGCGCTTCCTCTGAGATACATGGTTAATTCTCCATGAGGGTTATCTAGAGAACCTGACAAAGCAGACATTTATCACTGTAATTGTGACATACACTCCTTTCCAACGGATGTTGACTTCTTTTGTTAGAACAGGGAAACTGAGACATTTGAACCAAGATCAGGATGTTGGGGAATAGGAGATAACTTCCCTTTGCTTGTATTCTCTAGACAGATGTCATCAATGCTTCTTGGTGGGTCATGAGCAACAGCACCAGGCATGAACTGGAAAGAAGTTTTGATTGCTGTGGCTTGTTCAACCTCACAACTGTGTACCAAGATGATCCTTCCTGCAATGCAGTGAGTTGGTGGATGGGGAAGCACAACAGGGAGAAAAATAGCAACCTAGATCAGGACAATGCCCACATTGGCCGATTTAATTGGAATCTCATTACCTCTTTAGCAGCTTTGTATTGGGACTGTACTGGCACAAGGGGAGATATGGATATGGATGCTGGGAACATAGCTAAGCGGGATTTTTATTACTAGGGACTTTACATTATCTGTAAACACATTTGTAATCCTCAGATTTGCAAGAACAGGAGTTCCACATGCCAGATGTGTGGAGAAAAGTTTCTTAAGCATTCAGACGAAGCCCTGAAAATCCTGGGGGGTGTTGGATTATTCTTTAGCTTTACGGAGGTAATATTCTTCAGTTCCTTCATACACTCTTTCTCTAGTAAGTGTATCCCCCAAATTTCAAAACTAATTTGTGCTTCTCCTCCTTTGTTCCCATAGATCCTTGGCGTTTGGCTAGCAATGAGATTTCGGAATCAGAAGGACCCTCGAGCTAATCCTAGTGCCTTTCTATGAGACTAAGGACCCTTCTGACTTTTCCCTGTTTTCTCAGCTTTTTATTCCTCCCTTTGGGAAAATTTAGGGTCTAAAGCCCTTTTTGTTTAAGAAAAAGGAACGGCCCTTTGCCACATTCCCTAAAACTAATTGAATGGCTAGGCTTTAAGTCCTGACATATTTTGGAACAAGAGTAAGTAAGGAGGAGGAAAAACTCCCTGTTTCCCCAAGTGGATATAGACAGAGCCTGGGAGTGCATGGATGTGGGGCAGAGTCACTCATAGCTATTTCTTTTTTTTTCACTCTTCTGCATGCTGGACCACCTCAACATGCTTTGGCCTGGCTCCAAGAGTAAATCAGATGCAAGACCCACTTTGAGAAAGCTTAGTGAACATAAGCCGCCTTAACCTCTAGTCAAAGAGCTCCACTGACAGCCTAGGCCCTGTGTAGCTTAATGAAAGAGTCTTTATAGTTGTGCAGGGAACTTCCTTCTTTCAAGTGGTTTTTCAAATCACCCAATGGCAAAGCCAATCAGAGTAAGAAACATTAAAGAAAAGACCATATTTCTTTGTCTTGTTTTGTTTTCCTGTATAAAAAAAGGACCCCAATATCAAGGTAGGGAAGAGGAGGAGAGATAGACCCCTTAGTGTATAGAAATGGGAGGGGGGGCAGGAGAAGGATAAGCCTCAAAAGGAAGGGTGAGTATAAAATTTCATTAAGGCAGCAAAAAATTCTCTGTAAAAAGTTGGAGGAGTCTTCACAGCCTCAGAGAGAAAGGCAGAGGTCGCCTTCTCAATGGCGTTTTCTCCACTCAAGTGTCCAGAAGAGGGAAAATGGCATCATCTCTTCCTTCTGTGGCAGCCACTCCAATGCTTACTCTGGATCATCTTCCTTATGTAGGTAAGAGTGCTGCAGGGCTCGGAAGGCAGAGATTCGCTTGTGTGGGTTAAAAGTCAGCATTTCCTAAGGGGAGAGGCAAAGGTTAGAAAGCTATGGGGGAAAAAACCCTGCACCTCCAACATCCTGGGATGAGCTACTTCTATGTCCCTTTCTGGCCATTCACAGCAGTAATAACTGCAGCCCATCCACCAATAAGGTCTCATGAACTACAATGATCTGGGTTCTTACCTACTACATTTCTCATCCCAATCCCACCCCATGCCTGTTACTAGTACCAGCAGCAACTGAGCTCCAGACTCCTCCATCTCAGGCACCACTGACTGCACCGGGCGAGGTCCTCTTGGGGGAAAGGCTCCCCAGGGTAGAGATACATCTCGGGGCCAGTCATCCTCTGGAGGCAGCCCGATCAGGCTGTGGGGACAGAAGAAATCTGGTCAGGAACTTTTCCAGTTCCCCAGGGAAAGAGCCTGTTGCTATCTAGAGCTCAGCAGAAATAGGACTCAAAATGGGAAATTCATTTTCTCCTTGTTGGGTACTTACTCAAAGATTTTGCCCAGCTGGTCAGCTTCAGAGTTTCCACAGAAGAGAGGCCTGAGGTGAAAAAGATTTAAGTAGTGATCATTTTCAAAGAAAGTAGTGGAATGACTAGTGTTAAGCAGTTCAAAACGAACAGTGATAGTAAATTACTAACTCCAGGAAATTTCAGTGTCTCTGGTTATAGATAAAGGTGGTCAATAATATTCTAGTAAAACAAAGGGCAGAGTGGACTGGGGACATAGCTTAGTGGCAGAATGCTTGCCAAGCACACACAAGGCACTAGTTTTGATCCCCAGCACTAAGGGGATCAATGGGCATGGGGGAAATATGGGAATGGTATATATAGATAATGGCTGATGAATAAAAGGTTTGGAGAATTCGATACAGTTTAGGATTTTGGGGTTCCATACTTCCGACGAAACATCTCTGCAAAGATACAGCCAACACTCCACATGTCCACAGGGGTTGCATATGTAGACTGCAGAAGAACTTCGGGAGCACGGTACCAGAGTGTAACAACCTAAAGGGAACAGGAGTGGGTGAGAGTGCTCCTAGTTATGAATCACAACTGTGTGACTGAAGACATGAAGCACAGAACTTCTCAAATACTATACATATTCTCTTACCACCAACCAGAACCCATTTTAGCTCCCATCTTTCTACTGACCACAGGTGTAAGGGCCATCTGGTAGCTGTATATTCTGGCCAGGCCAAAGTCAGCCAGCTTGACTGTCCCACCACTTGTCACCAGAATATTTTCTGGCTTCAGGTCCCGATGAACGATGCAATTGGCATGAAGAAAATCTAGGCCTCTTAGAAACTGGCGCATCAGATCCTGGTTTGGAAGGGGGAGGTACAGACTCACTGGAAACAGACACCATACCTGAAATTCCAAGCTCTAAACATAGATCCCAATCCATCTCTCAAGATCTACTCACAATACTCACCTTGATGGTCTCGGCTGGCAAGCCTGGTGGTGGTGCCTTGTCTAAATAGGTCCTTAAGTCTTGGTCAACATGCTCAAACACTAGGGTCACCTTGATTTCACGGTCAGTCCGGGAAGTGGCACAGACATCCATCAGCCTGGCCAGAATAAATGGTCATATATTGCTCAATCCCCTTTGATCTGATAACAGTTTCCCATATTCTCTCAGGTTCCCCACTTTTTTTCTGACCACGCATCCCACTTAAAGGTTGTCTCTTCCCTTACTCCCACTCCCACCCTTCCACCTTCTTCTCACCGGACAACATTGGGATGTTCAAAAGCCTCCAGACGCCTCAATAAGGCCACCTCACGAACTGTGCTGATGGGAAGGCCCCCTCCAGCTCCTCCTCCATTGGGGACTCTCACACTCTTGAGGGCCACAAAGTGGCCACTGTGGGGATCACGGGCTTTGTACACCGTCCCATAGGCACCGACACCAATTTCAGCCACTGGCTCATATCGTGAGGTAGCCATTCTCAGATAAGGGGAGACCCTGCAATCACAGAGACATCTACCATTAAAATGTCCTTCCAGAGTTAGGATGATAGCAGCATGTAGCAGTAAAGCGATTCCCACATGAACACCATCATCAGCATCCCATCCCCTTCCCAACAGTCCAGAGGCCGCGCTCAGGTAACACAATGACTCTACCAGCAACTCCTCTGGCCACGTGAAACTGAAAGAAAAATATACGCTTTTCTCTTGGGGACCACTGTGCCGTGCACAAAGGAGATCACACATGGCACATCTAGCATCGACGATTTTACACCCCAGTCCCTAAAGTTACACCTATCCACCACCACAAAGGCCCCACTTCCCGCCCTTGGGCGACCCTTCCAAAAGCAGCCCGCCGGGCGCACGCATCTTGGGGGGTGGGGACTGGCCCCCATCCCTGAGAAGTGGCTGCATTTACCTTACTGCAGGCCAAGAGCTACGAGAGCAGGCCCGTTATCGGGACCCCGGAGCCGGTTCCTTCGGCGCCATACACTCGAGCTCCGTCCGGGGCAGCTGGACGTTACGGGCGGGACCATAGACACAGGCCGCAGGCTAGAGAGGCCCCCTCTCCCCCACCCTCACCATGTGACCAGCTGCCAAATAGGCGCGCGGAAACGGGGAGGGAGGGGCGAACGCCGGACGTTCTGGACACGTGACTGCTACCCATGCGCAGAGGGTCCGTCGGAGCCTCTTTAAGAGGGGGGCTATGAGAGGAGGGGAGTGATGAGGGAAGGGGGCCGAGGGGCGACGGTAGCCACGTGACCTGTTGCTATCACACGTGACCGCTTAACATTGCTCGGAGGAGCAGAGGTGTGGTTACGCAGCGAGACACATGACTGGCTGACAAAACCCGGTCTGTGGAGGGGGGGCGCACGGGGGCGAGGGAGGGTGGAGCCCAAAGCGGTGCCATGGCAACATGGGCCACCCAGCTTTCAACTCCTGGCTGAAGGCCGAACCTGAGCGCTACTCCAGGCTCTTGCTTGTCTCTCAGTCTCTTCCGTATTGGTGGCCAGGTTGTGGTCCGTGTGAGGATGAGGGATCCGAGTACTAGAGGTGGTGTTGTCATCTTTTCGCTCCATCGCCATGGGAAAACAGATTCTCATTTGGGTCTTTGTTTCACTCATTCATTCAACAAAATTTTATTAAGTGCTTGCTTCCAGTTTGTAGGTGGTGTTTTTGTTTTGGTTAGGTTTTGGCATCTCAGTCACTAGCTCTCCGAAGGAGTGATAAGGCTGTCTATAAGATGTAGCCAATCGTGTGATCTTATAAAATAGAGTAGACAATTTCCATGTGAGGACCAAAGTAGGACTTAAAAATGGACAGGAGATAATACAATAATCTAATAGGAAGAGTGGCAAGGTAATTCCCTCCCCTCTTCCCAACTCCCAAACCTCCTAGGGGGTGTTAAAGCCAGAGACTAGATGTCATTTGGCAGAGACAGTTATGGATGAGCTGAACTGGAATACTTGACCTGAAAAGTTCTTTTCAGCACTAAGATTCTGCGGTTCTGTGATGTGTGTGTTGTATACAGACAGGTAGATACAGGGGTGTGCATGTCCAAGGAAGTCATCCTCCCCTCAGACCACTACGTAATATGAGAATGACTTGTGCCCCTCTGCAAATCTATGACTACTCAAAGAAATTATTGTGCTTCCCTCTCTTCTCCCAGTGCAGCTTTCTTACCCCTTATCCCTGCCCAGAAGTAGTTGTTGATGTTTTCAAAAGGTTCCTGTCCACATACACCTAGATAGAGGAAGATTTCTCTGACTTCTCTTTAAAAAAAAATTTTTTTTGTAGTTGTAGATGGGCAGCATGCCTTTATTTTGTTTATTTTTATGTGGTGCTAAGGATTGAACCCAGTGCCTCACACCTGCTAAGTAAGCCCTTTGCCACTGAGCTACAGTGCCAGCCCATCTCTGACTTCTCTTGTATTATTAACTCCAACTTTATTATCTTTGAGCTCTTTGGGAGTGTGGGACTAAGGGATTACTATCCCATTTGTGGGAATTTGTCTAAAATATGGAACCATATAAAAATTATTTTTGGGGGGCTGGGGATATATCTCAGTGGTAGAGCACTTGCCTAGCATGTGCAAGGCCTTGGGTCAATCCCCAGTACGGGCAAAAAAAAAAAATTGGGGTGGTTGGTTGCTGGGGAATTGAACCTAAGGGCTTGGAATGGTAAGCATGTGCTCTACCACTGAACTGCACCCCTAGGCCTAAAGTCTGTAACTATTTTATTATCATTTGCATTTGCCACTTCTTTTATCCAAATTTGTAATTTCCCTAACTATCTGGCTAACAATGTAAGAGTTCATATAAAGAGAAATGTAAGCCATGATTCAGGGTAAAATAGGAAGACATGTTGCTATAGATTTCTTCTTGCTTTCCATTCTGTTGCAGCTCTGGGCCCTTGCTGGCAAGGGCACCTGGGACACTCAAAAGAAAAACCTCCACAGTAGAATTATAGGTATTTGCCACCATAGTGAGCAGGAGGATGGAAAGTTTGAGGCTAGCCTAGCCAACTTAGACCCTGTTTCAAAAAATAATAATAATTACACACACACACACACACACACACACACACACACACACAAGACTGTGGGTGTACCTAGGTAGTAATGGGTTCCTGGGTTCAAACTGCAAAAACACAAAACAACAACAAACACCTCCCATGCCCAGGCTGGAGAGGTAAATATTTAATTGGCTTCCTTGCTAGGGATGGTTGGTTTATATGGCTTCTGGAAGTCTAAGCTAAATGTCTGCAAGTTTGTCAAACTCCCTTCATATACTAGTTCCCTTACCTTCCCCCTACTAAGACTACTGCAGCTTATTGTCTCTAAAACAGAAACTATCCTCTATGTCTGCCTGATTCCCAGCCTCTTTTTCTGATTCATTCATTTGTCCATACAAAACATTTGAATACTTCATAAAAACATTGCCTCTTCTCTGTCACTTTTTGTTGGGAGCCTTAATTTGGCAGTCTGTCCCTGGCTCCATCTCCTCCTTTCTCTTGTTAATTACTCTTTTACTAATTAATTTTTTCCCAGCATGTTTGACCCAGTGGGCTCCCCTGGAATCTCTTTTCCCTCAGCTTTGCAAAAGGGGTGAGAGGGAGGATGTTAAGTGTAAAATAGGAAGAAAAAAAGAAAAGAAAGAAAAGGGATTGGGGAGAATTGTTTCTCAGGCTCAAGGCTCCCATAAAAACAAAGGGCTGTGTGTGTGTGTGTGTGTGTGTGTGTGTGTGTGTGAGAGAGAGAGAGAGAGAGAGAGAGAGAGAGAGAGTGAGTGTGTGTGTGTGAGTGTCAGTCTTTCAGTGTAGTGGAGGTGAGGGCAAGAAGGTATCGGGAAATATACTCCCATCCCTTTGGCACTACTATTTGTCTTGCTCATTCACCTCCCTGACGTGTTACAATGGTTACAATGATACGCTTCTGTTTCTCTCATAATCCGATTCTATTCCTTACACACACAGCTCTCTTTTACAGTCCAATGCCTAGCACACTTTTCAGTCTTTTGCATAAGAGTGTTTATTGCTTGAGTCAATCCCTTGCTCAACCTCAGACGTTGCTCAGCTCTGTGCACACTCGCATTTCGCATAAACCTCTCCCCCGGTATACCTGCGTTCTTTCAGCACTTACCTTTTCTTACATTCTCTCTCGAACACACACCCACTCCCACACACACACCTATTCTCCTACCCATGTGCACACTCCCCTTCCTCGGCCACTCCCCTCCCTCCACCCAGCCGGGGCTAGCACACTCGCCCCGCCCCTGGGGACACCTGCTCGTGTGGGGCAGGGC